AGTTGGAGTCTCACTCAGTCGCCCAGGATGGAGTACAGTGGCACACTCACTACCACTGCAGCCTCAACCTGCTGGGCTTAGGCGATCCTTCAGCCTCAGCCTTGCAAGTACCTGGAACTACAGATACACGCCACCACGCCCGGCTAATTTTTGTGATTTATTGTTGAGACAAAGGCTCACCAAGTTACCCGGGCTAGTCTCGAATCCACAGACTAAGGCAATCATCTCGCCTTGGCCCCCCCAAAAGTGCTGGGATTACAGGCTTGAGCCACCGCACCCAGCAGTTAAAGCTTTCTAGACACACAAAACCTGAGAGAATTCAGTGCCACAGACTTGCAGTAAAATAAAAATTAAAGGAACTTTTTCAGGCAGAATAAAAAGAATGCCAGATGGAAATTTGGATCCAGCCAGACACAGAAAATCATGTAGGTAAATATAAAAGGTTGTTTTTATCAATTTAAAATCACTTTGAAAGACACTAGGCTGCTATACATAAAACCGATAGGTAGAGAAACGTATTACAAAAGTAGCACAAAGGTCAGGAGGGGGAAATAGAATAACACTCTTGTAAGTTTCTTCATTAAAAATAACAAACCGGGCGTGGTGGCTCAAGCCTGTAATCCCAGCACTTTGGGAGGCAGAGTCAAGAGGATTGCCAGAGCCCATGGGTTCGAGATCAGCCTGGGCAACATGGTAAGACCTCTTCTCTACAATAAAGCAACAAATTAGCAAGGTGTGGTAGCGTGCACCTGTAGTTCCGGCTACTTGGAAGGCTGAGGCAAAAGGATCGCCAGAGCCCAGCAGGTCAATGCTGGGGTGGCTGTGAGTGTGCCACTGCATTCCAACCTGGGCGACAGAGTAAGACTCCAATTCAAATAAATAAATAAATAAAACCATAATCCATTATCACGCATGAACCTAGACTCAGAAATCCTGAACAAATTATTAGCAAGTCGAATCCAATAATATATAAAAAGGATAATACATCATGACTAAGTCAGGCTTATCAAGGATAGATGCAGAAAAAGCATTTCACAAAATTCACTACTCACTCGTAGTTTAAAACTTTCGGCAACTTAGCAATACAAGAGAACTTCTTCAACCTGACAAATGGCATTTATACAACCCTAGAGCTAGTACCGTATTAATGACAAACGATTGACTGTTTTTCCTCTAAGAAGAGAACATAAGCAAGGATGTCTCCTCTCAACATTTCTATTAAATTCTGTGCCGGAGGTACAATGAGATTAAAAAAGAAAAAAGAAATGCAAGGTATCCAAATTAGCAGGGAAGAAATAAAACTATTTGTAGAAGAATGTGATCACCTGTGTAGAAAATTCTAAGCAATCTATATAAAAAAGTTAATAGAACTTAATAAGTCAGTTAGGCAAAGGCAGATGTCACAAGATCAATCCACAAAACTAATGTCTCTGCATACTAGCAAGGAACAACTGAAAATTGAAATTTTAAAAGCTATACAAGAGTACATACGAACTTCTTAGGGATAAATGTAATAAAATATGCACTCAGTGTATATCCTAAAAATGACAAAATATTGTTGAAACGAAAGAACGCTTTAAAAACTGGAGAAATTTATTACAGGTATGTATCACCTGACTGCTTTTACAATGTCAGTTTCCCAAAAGTGATCTATGACTTCATTGCAGTTCCAAACAAAATCCCAGAAAATTGAGAAGCTGCTTTTAAAAATTACATGGAAATGCAAGATTATAAAATCTACCCAAAACAAGATTCAAAAGAAAATAAAGTTGGAGAACTTATGCTGTCTGATTTCCGAGGCTTATTAGAAGGCCACTGTAATCAAGACAGTGCACTACTGGAGTGAAAATAGCCAAATAAATCAGTGGAATAGAAAATCCAGACCTAGGGGAGGGAGGGGCATACCTGATCAACAAGGGTACACGCACAATGAACATTTGTATACCTAACCCTGAATTGTACCCCATATCTTTAAAATAAAAAAAGAAAAGAAAATCCAGAAATAGACCCACACATATCCAGTCATTTTTCCATGAAGGCACCAGGGGGAAAAAATTCCAATTTTTTGAGACTGCCATGCATTTATAATAGATATAGTGTGGTCCTGGTATAGACAGAAGACAAATAGACCAAATGGAATAGAATAGGAAAGCCAGACTGAATTCACGCAGAGCCTCAATTTATAATTTATATCTGAGGGTTTTTTTTTGTTATTGTTGTATTTTTAGAGTCTCACTTCGTTGCCCAGGCTGGAGTGCAGTGGCATGCTCATGGCCACCCCAGCATTGACCTGCTGGGCTCTGGCTATCCTTTCACCTCAACCTTCCAAGTCGCCGGAACTACAGGCATGCGCTACCACACTAATTTTTTTATTTATTGTAGAGACGAGGTCTCACCATGTTGCCCAGGTTGGTCTCGAACCTGTGGGGTCAGGCAGTCCCCTAGCCTCAGCCTCCCAAAGTGCTGGGATTACAGGATTGAGCCACT